GGTGCCTCGGGCGTGGAACGTCGGCAATCTAAGGTGGTACTACCTGTGATCGTCTAACTAGAGAGCGGACTGTAAGTCACTCCCAAAAGTCTAAGGACTAAAAATGTTGAGCTGATAAAAGACCTCGGCATTATACAAGCCCCAGTCACCTCTTCGGCATGGGCAGGATCAAGAAGGGTGGACAATAAGTCGCCCCCAAGGCCTAAGGGCTAAAGTATTGAATTGACAGACTCGTCACCATATAAGTCCCAGTCGCCTCTTCGGCATGGGCATATAAGTCCTACTCGCCTCTTCGGCATAGGCAAAGTACCTCAAATGCCTAAGGCATAGACAGCTCGAGTATAAGCCCTATGATGTCTAGTCCACTTCGGCATATAACAATAGGTTGGGCCCGTTAGGGACAACCAACATCTAAATGAGTAGCCCGTGGGCAGATAGGATGGGTATATACCCTGTAATGCCGCCCACCTCGGTGTACATTACGTGAAGTTGCTCCTACTAGTAGTCTAGGCAGACAATTCGGGGTAATCTCCACTTAGAAAAATTTTATTTTTGGTTATCCTTACTTATTGTCCAGCTCGGTAGCTCGACAATTCGGGTAACCTATACATTCGTTGCCTAGATCGGCAGTCACTCACACTTAGAATATTTTTACACAAGGATTAGTAAAAACGTTTTTATTTCATTGATGAAAAGATTTTAAGTACAAAGGTCTCATTGTGACCCGAGCTTAGTGGCTTCGGGGTGTACATCCATGATTCAAAAAGGAAGAGAAAAGAAGAAAAAACTCTTAGGCGGGAGGACTGCCAGCCACATCCGAGGGGTCCACTACTTCGACCTCGTCATCACTCTCCTCCTCTGACGAGTTGGGCTCCTCGTTTGCTGCCCTGGCCACTCCAGGAGCTAAGCCCAACATCGTGATGGCACCAAGGTCGAGATCGGGAAACTTCTGCCGAACCAGATACCTGCACAGCTTGAACCCAGAGCGGTAGGAGCTTGAGTCATATTTGACTTGGAGAGCGCAAAACTCCGAGGACTCCTTGAAACGTTCAATGGCTTGGTTCCTCTCTTCTGGCCGCGCCTCCTCGATGGCTGTCTCGAAGATCTGAGTACGCTCTTGGACCATTGCTTCAAGATTTTCGACTTCTCGTTGAAGTTGCGCCTTCTCCTCGGTCATTGTTGCGATCAGCTCCTTTTGCTTCGCATTCTCCTCGGTCATCACTGAAATCAGATCCTTGTGCTTAGCATTCTCCTCGGTCAGCGAGGAGATCTGCCCCTCCTGATCCAAAATCAGATGCTTCTAGCATTCGGCTCCCTTTCTAGCCTGAAGTACCTCACCCCGAGCTAGGTCCAGCTCGCGATGGAGCTTCCATACCTCCGCCTTGGTGTCTCGAGCTTCCGATGGGTGAATCGCGAACTGGCAAGCCAATGCGTGAATGGCAGAATTGACCTATCAAAAGAAAATCGAGGTAAGTAAAAAAAAAGAGAGAGAGAGAGAGGAACTGAAGGCAGAACACTTACCACCATGCAGTGGTGGGAAGCCATTCCCAAGAGCCGGGCTGGAGACATATCATCCCATCATGCGACCTCGCGCAAAAAGATAGCATCCTTGCTCTTATGCACCATGGTTATGTGGTCCAAGATGCTCTCTTTCTCGCTCGCAGGGGCGCTCTCTGGCTCGACAACGGGCCCCTCTGAAGTTGATACGTCCTCTGGTTCCTGAGGACAAGCTTCCTCCTTGCGACCCTCCTTTGTGACCACTTCGGGGTCCGCAGGTCGGGCCTCCTCCCTGGGGGGCTCAGTGGAGATCGGCTCCACGGCCAAGGCCTCGGTTGCTCCAGACGTTGAAGGCCTGACTTCCCGGCGAAGTCTCTTCGTGGCCTTCCACTTTTTCCCCCTCCGGGAGCTCATCAGGAGGCTCTCCGCATCAACCTCTGGCATTGTAATTGCAAAAAACAAACAGTTAGTCAAAAAACTTAAAGGGTATTTTAAGCAAATATCCGAAAGGAAACCTACCAGGAGGGCTCAAACTAGCTCGCACCAGCGCGTCCTCGGCCAAGAAGTTTTTCATCTCAAGCCCGAGGTCCCTCCATGAATTGATCACCGCCCTAGTCTCTTTGTCCAAGCTCACCCCGGGGTCCTGAGTAGCCACCCTCCAGTGGGTTGGGAAAGACCACCCTTCTGGGTTACGAGCGATGAAGTATCGCCTTTTCTAGGCTGGAACCTTGTTCGGGCAGCCATGCAAGATATTGAATCTGAGCCTAGGAGAGATGTAGTAGATCTGTCTGATGTCCCCGCGTAGACAGGCCGAGTTTCGCTTGATCGCACAAATCGAGCTGAAGACGTCCAGGGTTAGGGGTCGGCCGTAGGAGTGGAACAAAGAAATAGTGCCAACGATATTCCAAATAGAGTTTAGATGAAACTGGTCAATGGTGATGTTGTAAAACTTAACTACTTCTATTAAGAAAGGGTGGAGTGGGAAGTGCAGCCCTGCCGCGAGTTGCTCCTAAAAAATGGCGAGCTCATTGTGATCATGAGCCCAAGGGTATAGGGGTCGGCCGTAGGAGTGGAACAAAGAAATAGTGCCAACGATATTCCAAATAGAGTTTAGATGAAATTGGTCAATGGTGATGTTGTAAAACTTAACTACTTCTATTAGGAAAGGGTGGAGTTGGAAGTGCAGCCCTGCCGCGAGCTGCTCCTAAAAAATGGCGAGCTCATTGTGATCATGAGCCCAAGGGTACTAACCTAAGGGTATGTTGAAGACTGAGCTATCGGGGAGACGATAGCGGGACACTAAGTACAGCAGTATGTCTGAAAACAGTTTGGAAGGCCCGAAGTCATCAGGATCCCGACTTCGGGAAGAAGTTGGGGCCCCCGACCTGGAGGATGGACCCTCTTCCTGAGCTTCGGTCTCCCCGAGCCAAGATGGCTCAACTTCGGGGTTAGAGGTTCCCTCTAAAGACCGGAGAGGGGAGGCACCTTGCTGTGGGCTGACTTCCCCGGCAGGAACAACAGCACCCTCCACCTCGCTAACACTATCTACAAGCCTATCTATGCTAGAACTCGACATAATCGGAAAGCAGGAAAAAGCTAAGGAATGGGGACTCACCGAAAGGAAAGAACGAAGTGGAAAACAGAAAGAAGACCGAGCTGGCAAACTCCAATGCGTCCTTGGGAGAGCTCAATCGTAGAATTCGTGGCGAGAAAAATGAGTTGCGGACCCCCTATTTATAGCCGCTATGTCCGAGAACTAACGGTCGAGATCGAAGCAATCCAATGGCTCCTAGGAAAACCAGTTGCGCAACCCTCGAGGGTGAAAACGGTTTACCGCATTTTTTGACGTCCACAGAGTTTACAAATCGTGTGACGTCCGCACGTAAGCCAGACGCGACCTGGGTTTTCCTGGTTGAGCCAGGTGGTCGAACAAGTTCGACCCGTGATTCATCTAACTAGCTGCCCGGTCCTCGGACCAAATCCACTTGGCTCGTCATGAACTCCTTGCACCAGGTCAGAACCCCTGGCCCAGGGAGTGGGGGGCAATTGATGTAGGGTGATTTGGCCTGACCTAGTAATAGAGGGGCACGTGGACATGACCTAACTGACAGGATGACAGCTCATTCCGACGTATCTAGTCTACAACGGACCAAGCTCGGATGATTGAACCACCTCGGGGCAAGTCCACCTCGGAAGCAAGTCCACCTCGAGACAAGTTCACTTCGGAACACAATTGCATCAAGATCACTTCGGTTACAAGGCACTTCAGCATTCATACCAGGTCGGATCCAAGGGGCACTAGCTCAGGTGATATTGACCGACCTCTGCATGATAACCCTAAAGATCTCACCACAAGATTCCACGCTTTACGAGATCATGCCTCATAATTGCCAACCTTATCTCCCCCGTCCGAATCAGGCGGAAGCGAAAAGCCTTATTGGCTAGCAGCGTTATCTCCTGCTAATACAGATACGGGCCTCATCACGACAAGAATCCCGGAACCACTCCGAAAAACTCGCGAGGACTCCAGTATATAAAGACCCCAACCCTTCGGGGGCAAGGTACATGTAATCTCTGCTCACTATCTCTCTTGCTTTCTAAACTACCATCAGTTCGCAAATTACTGACTTAAGCATTGGAGCGACCTCGCCGGGTAAGCACCCCCGAGTTCTCTAATTCTCTCTATGCAGATTAGCCAAGTCCATCATCTACTGGAAGCTAAATCATCTCCAACTAGGAACAACAAGATTGCATCGCATCAAGTACTGAAATGAATTGGCCATTGCTTCACAAACCGAAGATGGTAAAAGAGGATTTCTTGAAGTGAAACCCTAAATAACACGAAAAGAACTATAAAGAGCAAAAACCCTAACATTTGAAAACCAGAAAAGAACACACTATAGAAGAACAAAGACTACAGATACGTGAGATTCTTTTTGCTTGAAATAATTGTTCGTACTCTATTTTGGTTGATCAATTTAGTTTTAGCGTAAAAATAATGATCAAGTGACCAAGGCTCACACTTCTCACTTCTCAATTTTCCATAAAAATTGTATCCAATTGATGTTGCCAAAAGTATCACATAAACAAGTTTGTCATCCTGAATTGGCCGATAATTAATAACCATCTATGCTTTTAGTTTTTTTTTTTAATTGTAAAAAATTGTTTGCACATGGTCTTATTATTGAGTCATCTCCAACTTTATTGGAATTTTAAACTTAAAGGGCTCTCTCTGTATCCATTCTTTAACAAGTATGATTAAATTGAGCTATTTATCCCAAAGAATGAAGTAGCACAGAATTAGTGTAAATTTCTGAAGTTAGATTTTTAATTGAAAATTATATTAACCTTTTCCTTCATTTTTAATCTCCCAATTATTCAATAAATAATTGTTCAAAATTATTTCCTTGTTTTCCCATTTGCCCGTGCTGCCTTTCTGCTACTTTTTAATTAATTAAATATAAAAAAGCAAGAAATAACTTTCATTAAACCACTCTCAAGTGTCAAGTCTACAAGCCATCTCAGACGCGCTGATACACTCTCTCGCTCTCACAGACACAGAGTCACCGTCTCTCTCTCTCTCTCTCAAACGATGTTCGGTGTGTTGTTTCCGAACCGGAGCTTTCCGATGGACATCTCCACCTTCACCCAAATCGACACTACTCATTGGGTCCTCGACATGAATACCTTCGTCGGTAAGCACACTTCCTCTCACCCCATCCCCCGCCTTATCTTAGCCTCCTCCTTCATTATATTAACCCTCCGTCTTCTTCTATCAAGCGCAGGGGAGGCGTACGATCAGATTCGCGATATGTGTATCTTCCTACTCAACGGCTTCACTCTCCCTCCCGACAAAGCCCTAGCCGTCTATATCCAGTCACCCGGCTCTCCTTTCCTCTTCTGCGGTGCCGTCTCCGTTTCCCGTCCCTCCGCCGTTCTCTCGCTTCCCTGGCCAGAGCCCGGTGGCCAGTTGCAGCTCACCTCTCCGGATTCCGCCCCTCTTTCCGCCAAGATTGGTGTCTCCGTCGAGGACTTGGCGTCTCTCCCTTCTCTTGATGTCACCGCTCAGAAGCGGGTCGAGCACTTGGCGCTCAAGGTTGGTGAGAATCTTTTTAACTTTATGCAGTCCTTCTGCGGTGTTGATGGAAGCCGCCTGGTCGTTCCAATGGACATATTAGATCGATGGTTCAAGAAGTTTCAGGAGCGGGCGAAGCGGGACCCTGATTACTTGAAGGGTTTTGTATTATGAGATCAGAAAGAGAAAGGTACTGTGAATTTGTGACCCATCAATGTTCTTTGCTCGCTTTTAGTGTCAAATGCCCATTAGTTGAGCCCCCAATTTGTTCTATGTTTTGTTGTGAATGAATAGAGAAATCTTTCTTTCTTTCTTAAATTGTGTTTTAGACTGTTTGCTCTTTAATTTACGTTGTACTCGGAGCATTTGATAAGCGAAAGAAAATTACAAGAGTATAAAGCTGTGCAGTATGCAGAGAGAATTGGGAGCCATTGATTGTGGACAACCTGGAGCCTTTCACAACTCCAATTAACCATTTGAACAATATGCAGAGAGAATTGGGAGCCATTGATTGTGGACAACCCGGAGCCTTTCACAACTCCAATTAACCATTTGAACAATATGCATAATGTGTGAAAATAGTGATCTAATATCTGTGTAGTCGATGTAACAGGAATGGAGGCTTCTATTTAAATGGGAACAGAGATTATTTAGCATTGGTTTGGATAGGGGATTGAGGGGTTTGTATGACATTGTTCATATTAGGTTAGAGGCAGCTTTCCATGAACATGGACATGGGAGAGTCCAAGAGTATGAGAAAACATGAACTAGCAGACATGTCAATGGAAAAGTATATACTATTAAAATAGTTCATGTTTTTTGAATCCTAACATTAAATACCTGCAGAAAAGAGAGCTAAAGTGCTGTTTTTGTTACTAAGTAACATGTTATATGAAAATGAAAGAAAAACGGAGAAGAAAAAGCTAAAAGATATGGAATTTATATGGAAGTATCCTCAAGAATCCAGGAAGTCTTGGACAATGGACGTACAATGCCTGTCCGTGTCTGTCATCCATTTAGGAGAATCCATGCAACACTTGTTTTAGGGTGAGTGATGTTGGTGGATTTTGTGATGAGAAAGCAGACCTAATACTGCAGTTATTTACTGAGGAAATAGGTGTTATTGTTGAATGGAGATATGGATGTTTAATTATTGTTTTAGTGAATTGATTTGTATGCGGTAACTAAAATAGAAGAAACAGATAGAGAATGCAAACCATATGAATGCATAATCTTTTATATCCTATGCTTTGAAAGGATGGAATTCCACTTAGAGCAGTAATAATGTAGTGTTTACAACCCAAAAGGTTCATGGTTTACCATGAAGGTGGAGTGATAGTGTCTTTCTATTTTACAGTTGAAAAAGCTAATACTTCTGGAATACAAGAGTTTAATTTGTAACTGACTACATACCTGCACCTCGTGTGCGGTTTTCATGTATGTTAAAATAGAAAATTTTGAAAGCAGACTGGTAGAAATGAGAGTTATTTGATCTTTTCCATCCAGAGCAAGTCTGCTGGTTGGAACTGGTCAGTATTATGTTACCTGGAAGGCTCAAACCAAATTTATTGAAGCTGAACCTTGGTTTTTGAAGCATGTGAGTGCAGCTATCTGTTTGTAAATGTATCAAATGTCAGTGACAACATCTGCTCTATTCTCCTAGAAAAAAAGGAGGAAAAAAAAATACAAGTGCTGTATCCAGAAGGACCAGAACCAAATATTATGTTTGTATTCTACTGACTACCAGTCAGCAAGCTTATTGATATTTATAAATATATAAATTTTAATAATCAATTAATAAAATCCATGCAATTATGACAACTAAGACTATGCTTGTTTAAAATTCTGCCCCGAAGATCATTATTTGAAGAATGAGTTTCGAGTGAAAAGTGATTCTTTTTTGAAACTAAATTTTCTAGCTCAAAGAATCAATTTTTAGAACCAATTTTGAGTCCAAGAAAGAAAAAGGTTAATTCAAATGATTTTCATGAATCCAAACTTGAAAATGACTCATAGAATCGCAAAATTTATCAGAATTATTCATTTGATTATAAAAAACCATCAAAATTAATTTCGCAAGCCAAACACAGCCCAAGTAAAGCATGGTTTAATTTCTATACCATAGAGGCTAGGAGACTGAATTTAATGGCAAAAAAAGAGGCCAAAGTGAACTTCAGTCGGTAATCGTATTGTAGATTTTAGGAAATGTGAATGTTTGGGACGTGGAAATTTTGATTGTTTTGTTGGGGGCGCTGGATCAGTCCACTGTAAGTCCCCTTTCTCAGGAGGAGGATTGGATATGGTGGATACTGGATAGGTGACCATTCAGGCATTTTCCCAGATAAATCTCTTTTCCAGATCCTCTCTGCTTCAAATAGAGATGATTGTATGAAATTGGATTTGGAAGCTCAAGTTCCCATCTAATGTGTTCGTTTTTTTTCCTGTGGACGGCCATCAAAGAAGAATTTAAACAATTGATAATCTGAGAGCCGAAGGAATGGTCATCATTAACGCCTTTCTATGTGTCTGGGGCGAGGAAAGAGTTACATCACCTTCTGCCCCACTATGAATTATCACATAAGAACTGGGTTCATTTCTGGAAGCTGTTAAGCACGGTGTGGGCAGCCCCCTCGGCCCCCTCCTGATCTTCAAGTCTTGTTCTCTTCATGGCAGTCCAATTTGTTCAGAAAGAGGTATCAGATTTTGAACCCACCAATAGCACATCTGGCCACCTTTGAAGGTGCATACTCTTCCCATAAATATCCTGGCTCAATTCTTGAAACTTAGAAAAAAAAAGAAAAAAACAAATTAATCAATCAGTATTGCCCCTTTGAATCATGCAATATACAATACTTTGAACCATGTTTTCGAAGGAGTATGATGCTCAAGAAACAATCTTCGATCTAGAAGACAATCTTCGATTTCCATCTCTTATTTTCGAGCTTCATGAGCAGCCACCGATGCTTGGTGGCATCTGGCAAACAGGTTACCCTGTTCAAGCTTCAAGGACCATAGATAGGAATATATATATAAAAAAGCTGTCCATTTCTCTGCTGTGTATTTTGAATTTTGAGTAGCTACTGCTGTTATATTCTAATATTCCTATAAATCTTAAGTGGCGCATCTTTCTACTTGGACTACTCTGCAACTCTAAAGGAAGAAAAGCATTTTCAGCCAACATTTGATCCTTATGCAGCATTAATCTACCTATGAATATCCAAACCGTTATAAAAGCAATGAAACGCTACAGCGGTCACCAAAGAAACAACTGCAAGATAGAAACCATCAGTCCATCGGTAAACAAAAAAGAATATGAAATTATAATAAACTCACTCTCCCACAGAGACCTTGATGGCAAGCTACGTGCTTCACCTTTCATGGGGCTCTGGTTGAAGACGCTTATTCCACATTACACTCATCAAGTTTGGAATGAAGATACCTGTAAGCATGCTTCCACCCATAGAGGTGATGTCTCAGATAATATGGATGGCGAATAAAGAATGATAACAGGACCACTAGTTCTTTGTGGGGCTAACAAGTAGTTTACCCCCAACGACTTGCATATAACCAAGGTTCAAAATATCAATACAGGGTGATACGCCCTACTGGCTTATCAGCCTGTATTGGTTTTGTTTTTTTTTTTTTTTCGAATCTGATTCAGAGGGGCTGGTCTACCCCCCGAACCAAAATTTTGAACCTCGCATATAACAAGTTCCTGCAACTCCTGAACCGCTGTGCACGGGGATCACATAAACAGGTGGTCGTAATAATTGAGTTGAGAGCCAAAAACAGTGTTCATATAATACAAAAAATTCCAATCAGTACATGTCCTGTGGGAGGTGGTATTACAAATGTCTACTTCAATAGGCTAATACATACACATGTCGAAGGTAAAACACAAATGAAAACCACAAGATACAAGATCAGTGCTATGCCTATTTTAAACGGAGTAAAGACTAGTAATTCTTAACTACAAGCTATTGTGTTTAATGCCATATGACAACTGCTATTCGTCACAGTTGACAACGCCCAGGCGGGTTCTTTGATGTCAACTAGGCAGCGTGGCATATCTGACAACTGTACATTTCTTTTTACCCACAAGGTATCCACTTCTTTAATCCAGTGTCCTGCAGGAACAAGGGTACAGAGATTAATACTTTATCCATAGCATTAAAGTTGTAAACACTACAATCATGTAAATTCACACCATATTTACTAGACAGTACTCAAAGCAAGAACATGCACGGTGGAAGATCACCATATAAAGGATACCTTGCCGATCTAGGCTCAAGGTTTTAACAATGAGAACGAGGAGATCCCAATTCAGAACCATAACCCGATGCATACGACATTGTATCTTCTTTAGATATGGCAACAAAGTTTAGTGGTGCAGTTGACAGTCTTCTCGTTTCTTTGAAATATCCATTTTGACGCCCTGAGTAGGACCTGGGTGTGAGTAACTCAGGAGTTGCACTCCCAACTGAAAGCCGCTGAGGTGTAGGAGTCATTGATCCATTTCCATTTGCACGATATCCATTTGGTTTCTTAAAGCTGTTACTTCTTTTCGGGCTTGGTTTGGAGCCATACATTGCTTCCTTCTCCGTAAGAAGAAGATCTTGAAACTTCTTCTGATCCTGCCAAATGATATGGTGGAATGATTATTTTACTGTTTACAAATAAAACAATCTGGAAATGCCCAATTTGTAATCATGTTTTACCCGGTATCTCCTCTTCTCTTCCTCTTTCTGTTGCCTGGTTAGTTTGTAGTCCTCCAATATTTGGATTAACCGAACCTGCAAATTGTTAAAAATGAGCAAGCTTATTTCACAATGGTGTGAATGGTATGTATCCAAACTGTGAATGAACCACTCACCCCATCATAAAGAAACAGCATTTTTCTTTCATCTTCCCATGCCAGTATTTTATTTATCAAATTTTCAATCATTGATGGAATCTTGGTAACAGTCACTCTAGCTTTCTCTGCACGTTTCAGGTTGAAGTGGACTCCTCTTCCAGCACTATAACGGTTCTCATCCTGAAATCCACCAAAATCACTTTAAAGCAGGGCTCTATAAGGGATAATTAAGACAGAACCCTTGATTTGTAAATAGCAGGTGTGATTTATTTTATATGATGTGCTATTTTATGACCAGAATCTGGCTTGCAAAGGCCAAAACACTGAAAATAAAAAAGATTAACCACTATAGTTTCTGGTATGAATTCCATGTTGCATTCTTACGCACTATAACAGAATATTACTATAACTGAATCACCAGCTTACTTGGTTGTAATCTTCAAGCCAATTTTCCTCTTCACAGGCAGCTAGCCATCTGTCTATTCTATCCATAATTTCTTTTCGGCTAACAGCCTCATCCTTCATCTTAGTTATCTGAACTTCAATGTTGGCCAGAAGTTCAGAAGGATCTACCAAACCTGAACAAGAGTATCATTCAGACAAGTACCTTGATAATTAGATTTACCGTGCAGCAAGATAGATGGAGATTATACCAGAGTCTATCAATGCATTCGCCTTTTCTGCTGCAGTGCTCATGTCAGGCTCAATATGTGCTTTTCTACAAATTTCTTCCAACTCTGACCTCTTTTTCATGACTAGTTCTTTCATTCTGCTGGCTTTTAGCTTGGTCAGTCTCTCAACCTCTGATGCTGCCTGAAAGCAATAATAAAAAAGGAAAACTTGAGATACATCTTTTTAAATATTTAACAGAAAAATATGGTGTTTGAACAGTCAAACCTGCTCAATAATCTCTAGTGAGAGTACACTCGATTTGGTAGTTTCCAGTTCTGGTGTTTGAAAGACAGAAGTAACTCTTCTAAACAGATTCCTCTCTTCTTGAGGTGAGTCCATCAAATTCCATAGCTCGAACAGTGATGCCACTATATCTTTCAACTACATTCGAAACATAGGTTTGTTTACATAGCCCAAAGCAAAAAGATGCATAACTATTAAAAATTTGTAATACCTTTTGAAAACGAGATTTTCTTTCTGCCTTTAACTTTAGTATGGCCTTCTCCAGACCTTCCAATGTACTGTTGCTGATGTTTGTGGATTGCTCATGACCTGTATCATGCAAGCTTGGATGCACTTCACTCACTGTCCTCCCAAAATCCATTCCAAGGACACCACATAAAGAATGCACCTCATTTACATATTCCAGAACTTTATGAAGGCGGTCAGACTGCAAGTAGCCACACAAACTTGAGACAAACAAACTTTTTGATTGGCAAATTTAGACTAAGAACAGGTATTCTTCATGTTTGAAATCTGGCATCATACAGACTGGTAAATGATCTCATTTGTCAGATTCATAGTTGCCCAGGGAACACCTAGGTGGATAGCTAGGCAACTAGGCAGTTTTAGACAGTTTTCTCACTCCACTGCCTGGAAGATTCCGTAAAAAGTGCTCACTCAACTTTTTAAGCAACAAGGCAGGTGTCTGTGTGACTAAAATAGGCTGGGCTACACAAGTAAGTTTCTTCTTAAGTTACAATATTAAGTTAATAACTGAATAGCTTAATAATGTTTGTTTATTTAGTGGCTTAAAATATAAGTTACACAACCAAGTTTCTCAACATGCACACACAGGTTTCTTTTCTGTTATTGCTGCAGCTGCTGAGCAATTTGCTCAGTTGCTGTTTTGGCATTTCTTTTTTTGTTTATCTTTTAGCTAAAACAGAGACTCTGCTCTTTCTTCTGTTTATTGTTTTAGCAGTAAAATACTTTCTTTTCTGTTTACTTTTTAGCACTAAAACAGGGGTTCTTTTTGTTTGTTTGTTTGTTTTTTTTGCTGAGAGAGGGGGGGGTACTAAAACATGGCTGAATTTGGTTCTCTTCCTTTTTGTTTATAATTTGGTGCTAAACAGCCAGGGCTGAGTTGGTATGAAATTAATGAATTTAAATGGACGTCTTCTCATGAATATGACAATTTTCTATATTTTGATAAGAAATTCTTGCTAATTGATAGTGTATATGATTATTTTTTGACAAGTAACAGGATATTGCCAGTGTATATGATTGCCAGCAAAATAGGAAATTAACCTAGGATTTAGGGATCATTTATTTTCAAAACCCATAGCCTAGGTGCCTGCCTAGGCATCTATGCACTCTCTGGTTGCCTAGCTTCACCTTGGTACCTTGACAACTATTCGCAGACTAATTACAGCACTTCTTCTGGGCCTGCCCCTTAGTCCTTTTTGGGGGTAATCTAATTGCATTCCATTGAGAAAATTTTGCTTAAAAAGATGGAGTTGTTAAAAGTTCTTGAGCTGCTTGTGATTCAAGCTTGTCTTTAATCATATAATGTAAACCTCTAGTCTAACAAAATAATTTTTTTTTTATCAATATAGTCTAACAAAATAATGATACTTTGAAATTATAAAAAAAAAATCAAAAAATAATAATAATAATAATGATACTTCGGATTATCCCTCTCCCACTAATTTAAAACAGGGATTCATCACATCATGATAAATGCCTATTGATCATAAAATACACATTAATATTAATCATTTTGGGCCTTCAGAAAGTGATTGTTAAAGGAGAATATCTAGTTCTCATAAGATGCATGCTCTCTACAATAATCCTCATTGAATAATTTTTTTTTTTTATCAATAATCCTCATTGAATAATTCATTCATGTGAGTCACAAGATCAGCAAACTCTCAAGCTAATGCTCTTTCAGGGGAAGGAGTAGGGAGGTTTATCCCTTTTGGGAAGCTTATAGTAGAGAATAACTATTGTACTGCTCTTAGTAAGGTCAGAATAACCACTGTTTTGGTTTAGGGTGTAATCCAACTTTTATTTCACTTCAATGAATTCCTTTTGATCCGTTGCTGGTAAAAAATAGTTTAAAATACATGTTATTCTATATTTTTTATTAGAGAAGAAATGGTCCTTGCATCCTCATTGAATAGCTCATTCATGTGGATCCCAAGATTAGCAAGCTTCCGAGCTAATGGTCTTGCAAGGAAAGGAGTAGGGGAGCCTCTTATTCTAGTCTGCTATGAGGTAGGCATAACCATTTCAATCCATTGCTGATTAAAAGAAGGTTAGAATGTACGTTATAAACTATAAATTTATGTGCAAACTTTTCATCTTTATGCATCTTATTACTGTTCCTATTCTAGCTATCCTACAGGAAAGTTACGGTTATCAGGAAGCATAACTATGATAATTCAAGACATGCTTACCTTTTCTTTTTGCAGGCTGTGAAGATGTGTTTGATATTCAGTAAGCTTTCTTTGTGACAAGTCTTGTTCTTCAGTATTTAAGGAGTCAGTAACAACACCATTGAGGTGAGTGTATCCTGAAACCTCGCCCCTAATCTTCTCAATTTGTGCTTTTACATCTGCAATTTGCTTTATGCGTTCTTCTTTCTTCATTCTAAGATCTTCTACCAGTGGTAAGACTGATGCAAGTTGCTCTTTCAAAGATGCTGACCTTTTGTCAGTCAGTACCTGCAACTTTTACAAATTAATTAACTGACAGAAGGATATGTAATTAATGATATCACATATTGAATGGCCTACTAAAGCATTTTGCAGTTTGCGCCTTTAGAGTTTAATTCCATCTAGTAAATAGTGAATGGTCTGGATGTACTGTAAAGATGTAATACAATAAAAACAATACTTTATCTGTTAAAATGACAATAAAGAAAGGTTTCCCAAGTAATAATTAAAAGAAAAGAGAAAAAACAGCTGTTATAACAATAGGACAAAAGAATTATCAGCTAAACCATATTTTACATTGGAAAGGTAGATGTGCCAGAATCTGATATTAGCTATGAGGTGGCAGACTAGGCAAGTCCCAAAGATGTGGGGATATTCAGCAGGCACACTTCAATTTTGGACTTTAATGGTAATTTTCAGTGTTACCAAAGTATCAATTAGTCAGCTGACAAGTCAACCATGTCAAAACAAAATTATTTTTGTTGAGATGCTAGCTTAGAATTATGGTTTTAGTTTATTCATTGATAGTTAGTTGCTGTCTTTGCTTCTTTTATTGCTCCTAAATTGCTTTCATATAATTGGGTCAACCAGGGGTATTTTTGCCATTGTACATCTTTTTATATTATAAATATATGAGAGAGGGGCAACAGCAAGAATTTTTGCTTCTCCATTCTTTCTCTTCTTTTCTTTGTTAAGTATTGCATTATTTTCTGTTTCTGTAATCCAAGTTGGTATCAGAGCAAGCACAACCTCCATTGGTGATTTCCATGCAGTTCAAAGACCAGTTGACTGAATGGAAGAGTGAAAGTGCTGGTCTATTATAAGAGTTGTTTGGCCTGCTTTTTGGAGATTTTGGATTACTTGCTGCTGAGCAAGGAGTTATCTTGGAGAACTGCCCAAAATCAAGAAAAAACAGAAAGAAATGAGAGGATATTTCTTGCTTGTGATCCAAATATAATTTCTTTGAGATTGGTGCTTGGCTTTTTCTAGGCATTTTATCATAAAAATGTGGGTCGATGCAGTTGGGTCAGATTCTCGAGTGTCTGGTGTGATCAACCTAGTTTTCTCAAATTTCTCCTCCCAAAATTGGGTGAAATTTGTTGGATCACTTTTAGGTGAATGTTCTTTGTGCAATCTGTTTTCTCTAGGTTTGTTTTACCTAGAATTAGTGGCAGCTACCTCTGGAATTAGTTCTGTTCCTTCTAGAAAGATCAATTATCAGATATCTCTTCTCTTGATCTCTGGCTGGTTACTTCACTAGGAACAACTTTAGGGTGATTTCTATAGATCAATATATCCCTGAGGAGTTCTTATTTGTTATCTATTAATATGGCACTGAACAGAATAGAATGGTGAAACAGGATTAATGTAGCTGTCCACATATGGTTGGAACAAGGCTTAGATAATGATAATTATGATGTGATCATTACCTATTGGAGAGATGACGAAAGTTGCTGCAAGTGGTCATAAATCAGGTGAAAAGACAAGAAGGGCTCTGAGAGGAATGAGAAAGAATCCTAGTGTTCACTGCTCAGGTTACTACAGTCAAACTTGATGGAACAAATTATATGGAATGGGCCTAGTCTGCTTATATGGAAATTTGGGAATAGACTAAAGACCCTTCCCATGCTCGATGGGTGGAAAAGAACCACATGGGAATTGGGATTGTCTTTATCTACCTTTCAACCTCCCTCTCCCCCTTCCTTCTAAATGGCCTAGTTGTAAGTTTAAATTGTAACTCTCATAGTCTCTAGGCAAATTGAAGTTCCATTGCAAACAAGATCCTAACAAGTGGTTCTGGAGGTGGAATGAGCAAACAAACAGTTTGTGGAGAAGAGTTATTTTGGCTAAGTATGGTTCTACCAACTTTAACCGGAATCCAGGTAAATCCAATATCTCTGATGGGTGCTCTGTGTGGAAAGGGATTCAGAAATCAGCTCCAAATTTAAAAAGGGAATCAGGTTTGAAATAGGCAACAGCTCAAAGGTGAATTTCTGGAGGGATTGGTGGTGTGGTGAGCATCCTTTGAACAAGAGATTTCCAGTTTGAGCTAGCTCAAAATAAAGATTGCTTGGTGACAGAGGTTTACTCTCATGACAGGTCCACAGGTGATTGGTGTCCCACTTTCAGAAGAAACCTGAACGACTGGGAAATAGCTCAATGGATGGAATTGGTGCAAGCTCTTAGTCCCCGTCAGACCAGACTTCTCTAGGCTAGATAGAAGAATTTGGTTGGGAGAACGCTCAGGGGTTTTCTCTGTTAACTAAAAGCCTAAGCAGTGAGGGTGAAGAGAGTTTCCCAGAGCATAGAGTTTGGGTATCTGTTGTGCCTCTTAAAGTAGCCTTCCTGTTATGGACAGCTACTCTTGGAATTTGGAAAAAGCCTGACAGAAGATTTGCTTGCAAAAGGGGGAATGGTGGTGAAGCCAAGCAGATGTAGCTTGTGTGGGACAGCTTCAGAAGATGCATGACATTTATTCATCCACTGCAAAACTGCAAGAATGACCTAGGGGAAAGCTTTGGGGCTGTTTGATGCTAACTTCTGTTTCCCAAAAGACCTGAAATCTCTTTTGTGGTGCTGGCAGCTTAAGGGTCTGTCCAAGAGAGGGAAAGTCTTGTAGGAAGTATTTCCAGAAGCAGTTTTTTGTTTTTTGATAAGTTCCAGCAGCACTGATTTGGTCTCTATGGGTGGAGAGAAATAGGAGAGTTTTTGAAAATACAGTACAAAAAGGCTTATGGGGCAGAATCTACTTATGGACTGCAATTCACAGACAGCTAAAGGATACACCTTTCAATTATTTTTTTGATTCTATGAATCTTTTTGTATCTAGATCTGCAGTGTAATCAGCTTCTCAGTTTTTTCCCCTGTTTCAAGTTCTTTTTGAGCAGGGCCTTGTATGTTTTGTTTTTGCCTTTTCTAATACATTACCTCTCCCTCAAAAAAAAAAAAAAAAAAAGAGACCCTTGCCCAATAAAATATCTTATCTCAAAAAAATATCTCCCATTCTGTTATCCTTGCCCAATCTGTTATCCTTCATCTCAAAATATAAATAAATAAATAAATAAAATATCTTATCTCCCATTTTCTATTTCTATTGTCAATCTTCAGGAACCTACCTAGTTGATTCCCATTTAGCTTTAAACATTCTGCACACACCAAACGCATAATGGTAATGCCAATTACAAGACCCAAATCATTCTTATTCAGTTATTCCGCAATGCTTCCATACAGCTCATGCTTATAGGCACCACCACTCAACACACTTTCAGTGCTCTGGACTTACTTTCCTCAAGCTCCAAGATTTCCTCTGCCTCCTTACTGTTAAACACAAAGAGAAGCAAGCATGCAATTAATCCTTTTACAAGAAGGTGTTCATCAAGGTTCCCACTCCACCACCACCCAACTTCTGACATCTTCAGCATCTGGATCAACTTCCACAAATAGCCCTGACAAGCGTGCTACCTTCAAGCCTAACCTCTGAAGAAGTTTTCCTAACAATGATACCTTTGCTCGTCAAATTTCCTTACCAGTAACCAGTTTCCATTGACAAGCTCCATGATAGCCTTAGTCCTTCAGGGAGTTTCAGCTAGACCATAGGTTGATACTTCTATTATTCTAGTTTCCTTACCAATCACCTTTGGCAAGATCCATGATAGACTCCCCCCTCCCTTCTCTAAAAGGGCATCCCAGTGCACGAAGCTCCCCCCTCTCTCTCTGTCGTTAATAAGGTTGGTATAATGTTTCAAAGTCATTGAGTCAATAGGTTATAACATATTGGTTTTTTTCCTCTTCTACAATGACAATTTCATGGTTATGGTGAGGCAGTGAAGTAACACAAGCCCCCCACAGTTATCTATTAGTCCCCCCCCCTACTTTTCTCTCATTGAATATGCATTTTTTTCATTCTTATATCATGAAGTTTAAGAGATTGAACCAATGTGCATCTGCAGCAAGTAGCATAAGTTTAAGAGTTTCTCAAGAACGTTACCAGTTCTAGTACAAGTATGAATAGAGGATGCTTGTATGCACATCATTTAATAGTGATAACCCTTCAGGATGAATGAAAAAACGAGGTTTTGATGATAAGAATAGATGCAGGTATAACTTTCCTTACTTCCAGAAGTTCAGTTATAACAGTCCTAGAACAGCATCAAGAATATCCTTTCGTTACTTCTGAGAATGCTCCAGTGTGCAAAAAGCAGGATGGCACAAACATAGTGTTCCAACTTCCAAGAAATTTAGCACTTCCACTACTAAGAATTTGATGTATGCATAGAGAAGTTTTCCATTAGAATGAAGCACCGTCTCTTCAGTATCTTACTTCTAGTACACTGCTAGCTCATCATTTCATCAACAGTGTGTTTCTTTGACAATCAACTTTTGTTATCATGCATATGCTAAGTGATCCTTAAATTACCAACTTTACAATGTAAGATGTCACCATTTTCTGAAATACAGCTATTGAATCACTCAATAAAGTAAACCCAACATCTTATTAAGTGTAAATACATCAACATCCACCTCCATCTTTTCCATGAATCCTTGCCAGGATTCTACAACTTTATCAGTTTTGAGATCATATGTTCATGACATCCACTGCAAATGTTCCTACTACATCTCCAGTACTGACAGTGCTCAATTGAGATATATTCTTGTGGGTCTCAACTACACAATTTGCTTTTCTAGGAACCCAACATGTCATTTATTAACTTTAATCTTCAAATATTATGCTTTGTGGCAGTGAAACTGCAAATTTCAGCATCCTACTCAAGGAGGATTGGTTCATTGATCATACTTCCTACAAACGTCCTTAACTATCAGACTTGGGAAGTTGGGATTGAAAAACACCTAGAACAAATAAGCTGAATGGTAAGTAGAAGGTTGTATCTTTTCTAAACCAGAGAGAACTTGCAAATTCAGATGACATGGCAGTTCCAGATGATAATTAGTAATTATGGAAAGAGCAATTTGATGGCAAACAAACAAAACTGAGAGAGAGAGAGAGAGAGCACTGAAACAAAACACAACATAAACTATTGCATGAATTTGCCACGCTGAAAAAGGAGGAAAAACCATAGAAAGATACAGCTGTAATTCCTGAAAAAAAAAATGAACTGTACCTGAGAACGAAGATTAAGCTCCCCAAGAGCAGCCATGAGCGTAGCGAGTTCAGCCTCCTTTGCCGCAACAGACTGATGGAGGCGGGCCTTGTTATTACTTGCCTCGTGAACCTTCCTCCGGTATACCTGTAAGCATTCCTTCTCAAGTTCCAACAGCATTCGGTCCTTGTCCGCTTCGCTCTCACCAATTTCATCCCACACGTGCTGCTCTCAGACAAGTTGACCAAACTATCATTAGAACATTTGAACCGAGAGAGAGAGAGAGAGAGAGAGAGAGAGAGAGAGAGAGCTACTTGAGTTCTGATACGAGAACTTGTGAAGAAAACCACTAAATGAGGAAATGAGAATTGACCCAAAAATTAAATAAAAAAAAAACCATTTATCTTGTATGTAAAAGATCACCCTCTAAGTCTCCAAGTTCTTCCCCGGACAAAGGAAAAATAACAGAAAAAAGAAAAAATGGAAACAATCCCAAACTGTAATCTTGACTTTTATTTTTATTTTTCATTTTCTGCTCGTTTCTTAAGAATTTCTCGACAAAACATCGCACCCAATTCCACTGCACACCTTTTTTTCCAATAAAAAACTTACAGGAGATTAGAGAAGTGTAGCCTAGCCTTACTTTTCCCCCTGAAAAACTCATCACGGGATGTAAAAACGAAGTTAATAAGATATCTACAGAATTTAGAGCTCGAAATAAGAAATTTGAGACCGATGCTGGACAATGAAAAAACAAATTTTACTCGAAAATAGTACCAAATAAGAGAAGATATCATTGAGGGAAAAAATAAGCACGCATACGAGTAAAGACCTGAAGTTCTCTAAGTAAAGCACCACAACTAGTGTCCGTACAGGCACTGGTAGGGCTCCCAAGCGCCTGCATTTGTACGAATTCAAGCCCCCCTACCTCTTTCTTGATATTTAAAACTTCAAACAACTTTTCTCAAGCAAAGACAGAAATCCAGAATGGAAAGTAGAAAAGCCGAAATTCTAGTTCTTCCTCCACCTCCACTACCAGGATACCACCTTGGCAAAAAAAACGAGAGAGAGAAAAAAGAGAAGAAAAGAAAGAAAGAGAAAAAACGGCGTTCAAAGGACGAAAGTGGAGCAAAGAGAAGCGGTAAAGCTGGAGAGACAGAAAGAGGAGAAGCGGAGTAGTTTCAAGTCAAAAAGGCCAATAGAGGAAGCCACATTGATGGCTCAGTTGGTTGAGACAGCAGTAGCTCCGTCAGATCTGAAGCACTGCAGCAACAAAAGCTCATTAAAGACCTCATACGACAATCTGTCTTCAAAGCTTAACCGAGAAACAAGAAACAGAAATCCGAAATACCTTTAGGGTTTCTGTCAAAGGAAAAAATGGAACGGGCAGACCAGGATTCAAGAAAAATCTCAGTACAGAAAAAACACCATTAAGGACGCTAAACAGAAGCAGAATAGAACCGGAGAGTTGAAGAAAAGCAAGAGATTTCTAGGGTTTCAAGATGGAGCTAAGCTGTTTTCAGACGTAACAGAGATTTCTGGAGATCTTTAGAATCTCCGCTCGAAAAAGCTCCGAAATTTTAAAGAAAACAAAGATAGCGAATGAAAGAAGAGAGCTTTTGAGGATTGAAGGAGAGTTCACATAGAGGCATCAGTAGAATTGTCTCAGTCGGAAAGGTCAGTGCTACGTGGAAGAAGAAGGAAGGAAAAATAATAACAAATTAATAAAATAATAATTATTGATAGTCAAATTTTTAATTTATAATAATTTGCTTAAAAGCAGATGGTCCTTTCGTAGAGATCTGAGCTGGCTTAGCGACCGTTTTGATAACTTCTGAACTGGATAAACCGCTGAACTGAATTACTTAAGTTTGTCGTTTAACGGATAGAAAGTTATAAATAAAATCTCCAGGGGTAAAACAGTCACCACGTTAAAATGCTATTCAGCCTTCATGCCCGATGGCTTATGTGTATACGCGATGGAAAAACCGTTTGATTAGAATCTTAGAATCAGTTCTTTTGTCGTTTGGGAATTGGGGCAAATGAGGATCTTTAGTGGGACCACAAGAACAAAATGGCCATTGGATACGATGTAACAGATGCACACTCAAGTGGCTCCCACCACTGGAAATGGGTCATGCCTTGGAGATTTCCTGGTACTGGAATACGAAAGCATTGATCTTGGAGCCACGACAAGTACACTCAAAAAGTAGTTAGAATCAATGCTTTCAAACCGTGTTAACTGTAACAGTCAAACCGATGAACCGGAAGGCTGACCGAATCCTGGTTTCAGAAATCATTATGACAAGATAACCCGGATAGTTTTTCGGGTTCTACATCGGGGTTGGTTATGGATCCCATTTTTTTTTACCTGATTGGATCCGGTTGAAGATACCTTACATTAGGTTAACCATGCATAAGTCGTCCATGAATCAAAAGTTAGATCTCAAGCATGCATCAAAATATGTAGACTCAACCATGCATAAATCATAACTACCCTCATGATAAAAATACAACCTCTTCTCTTCATTCAATATATATTAAAGGAAAATTTCCACTTTAGTATCCTGATTTTTGGATAGTGTCAAATTAGTACCCCAATTTTCAAATGTATTATTATAATATTTAGACTTTCAAAAAGTGTTAAGTTGGTCCCTGTCATTAACCAATTGTTAATTATTTATTGAAAATGTCAAAACTAACCTATAAAAGAAGACATTATTCATTATCTTCTACCTTGAGACTGAACCGATTATCTTCAAAAAAGAAGAGGAAAAATTAAACATATGATAGAGGGAAACAATAACGGAAAGTAAATAAATAAGTAGACAAGAATGTGTTTCAAATCTAAAGATAGAAGACAACAACTTCATTAGTCTAAAATCTCAAACACCTCAACTGGTTCAGTCTCAATGTAGAAGACAATGAATAGTGTCTTCTTATGAAGGATAGTTTTGATATTTTCAACAAATAATTGACGGTCAGTTAACGGTAGGGACCAACTTGATACTTTTTGAAAGTTTAGGTACTGCAGTGACATGTTTGAAAGTTTAGAATATTAAAGTGGAATTTTTCCCTATATTTAATTGCAAATCCACTCTATACAAACACACATATTATAAAGTACTTAAATATATAATACAAAACTAATTATAAATAAATTATAAAATATTTTTCCTAATTCAGACACCACGACACTAGCCTCAATTTCAACTAAGACCTCTGCAATATAAAACAAAAAAACAAATTTCCATGGACATTGGGTCACTAGAAGCGTTTGTTTCTATTGTAAACACTTGACCGGTGTAAACTTGCATGCGATCCGGCTTTGCTTGTATTTGTTTGCGATGTTTTTATACATCCTAAAAGAGAGCAATATTACATTCAAGTCGACGTTTGCACCAAGTCTTAATGGAAAGTTACCATGGCGGATAAGATCAATGTAAACTCTCCTCCTCCTCTCTCTCAAGGTAAAAACCACTATGCTCGCACCTCCCCTCAACCGCTATAACAGTCATATAGCATTGATCTTCTCTACTAGCAACGACCTATCTACAATTAGGGGTGTCAATTGGATTAGATTTGGTCCAATCTGATCCAGTCCAATGTGAGTCCATTACAAATGGACCTGGTCCAATCCAGTCCAATGAATATTTTGGATCGGTTCAGAGACTGTTTAATCTGTTCAAATTTATGTTAATTTAGATTGGTTTCAACTCAAACCTGATCCTTTGACACCCATGTTCTTATCTTCTATCAATAGACTAAATATTGGCTCAATCCAATATAAATTTATTATGGACAGACCAGGTCCAATCCAATATATCATATTGGTCCGTCCAGACCGTCTAAGGTCAATATGCCTTATTGATCCGTCTAATCCATCCAAATGGATTTTGATTTGAACGGAATTCAACCCAAAACCGATCCATTGACACCCCTATGTACAAGGACCATATATGTTGTAATGGTGTTTTTTTCACTTTTGATCTGCACATTTTTCCTTTTTCAATGTGGTGATTGTGTTTTCTCATCTTCTTTTTTTGGTTTTATATTTTTTTAGTTTTTAATTTTCTTTTTGTTTGTCTCGCAAATTGTTGGTGAAGTTATCGACTGTCATTTATTCCTCACATCCCCACTCCCAACTGAATTAACTTGTCAAGGGGCTGTTAACGATGGGGGTAAGTAGGAGTAGTCGAATTTCTAATGAATCGTATCAGAAGGAAATCAAAGGAGTCATTCACCTAGCATCGCGGGTAGGGGTGCAAGTCGGATTGGCCTGAATAGTTTATACTGTTTTAGGTTCGGGCTTCAGGTCCAAGCCCAACCCAGAAAAATTGCACCCTTAATCGCGGACTTCATGTAAATAAAAAATGGTATATGCGATGAAATAAATATGTTGCTAAAACATGGTATTATTATAGTTGAAGCACCTGGGGAACAATTGAAACATGGAATTTTTGAAAAAAAAATCAAGTTTGGTCAATTGACAATTTCGGTTATGTTTTAAAAATAATAGCAAATTGAGTGAGCAAGAGGAAACAAAGAGTTTTTAGGACAAAATTACCTCTTTGTTAAAAACAGAACCCACCGAATCCAAAGAGGACACATGTTTGGTTCATTCAACTCCATTCGTTCAAATTGTGGCTGGCTGGAAGCATCTCTAAATTCGAGTTCGACTCCGTCCATTCAAATAGTGATTTGTTAGACAGTCTTTGTATGCCCTTAGCTACAATCAAAATGATGTACTTTTGACATTTATTGTAAATGACTAAAGTGCATATTTGATTCATGTTCTTGTGGTTTGTTTCTGTGTTATACCCTTAAACTAGACACTTAATGAGACTCGTGTTAGTTTAGAATGTTCACAGCCGATGGGTCAGTCTGGGGAGACTTATCTTGATAAGGCTGACACTGATGTGCCACCAAGTCGGTTGGGGTGGCCTGTCTCAGTTACCAGGGTGAGACCCAAGGCACATGCAGTATAGGATTAATTAAATCTTTGAACCGGACCAGATTTCCAGTATTGCACTAGACCTTGGAGATTGATGGGCAAAACTAGAAGTTACACCTGACCCCTAGACTCGATTATGATACTGCACTAGATGTCGGATTGGGCTGTCTTTGATATGCCAATTAGTGAGATCCTTAG